GTAATTCTGATCTATCCATATGTTTAGTTTAGTTGACTGTATGATGATGATGAGTCAAAATGCAAAGGAAACAATATCTCAAAAACTAGGTACTTTTTTTTTTTTTTTAAACTCGTACTTGTTTTTGTGTGTGTGTGTGGTCCAGTATGGGTATGAAACCAAAGTTCTTAGATGGCGACGTAGCTGTGGTAATTGATTTAGTCACACGTCAAGTTTAGTTGTCAGATTTGAAACCACCAAGATATTTATTTTAATTCACATCAAACGCATTTTAAATTATAATACAAATCCAATAATTTCTTGGACACTTCATTAATTTGGAGGTACCTATATTTATTGGCCATGTGTGAGATCTTTCTCTTCGCGCAACTCCAAACTCCATAATAAGTCCTCTTCTTGATCGCTCTACCTTTTGTTTTCTTTCAGATTCTTGGAAATGCCTTGTCTTTACATTACGACCAACGTTAACTTAGACGGCGTTGACACCGATCCGTTCTACTCGGAAGTCACCGGAGCCGTCGCTTCCATTGTCGGACGACCGCAGAACGTAAGAACATCTCTTTCCTTTAGAAATCTTCCTTTTATATAAGTTTTTAAACTTCTTAGAATATTGTTTTTACTATCAATAGAACTCAATACTCTCTATCCGTAAGTATTGTTTTATAAATTTTCACGGGAGTTACAACAATCATTGTAAGGTCTATTATACCTTTAACTAATAAGATAATGTTTTCTAAATACACTATCAATTGTTTGTTTCTCTAATTTTAATAGAACAAGTGTTCTATAAAAGGTCAAATTTTAATAGAACATTTGTTCTCTAATGGAAGAGTTTTTTGAAAATAATGTTTTTAATAGAAAAGAGAACTTATTTGAGGCCTCTAGGACTCTTAGGAATCATAATACTATAAAAGTACATTTATTGGGATGCAATAATAAGAATTGTTTACTAGGTTTCACCTAAATTGGCTTCTTGACCAAAAACAATTAATGGCTTCGAAATAATAGTTTTAAAGTGAACATCATCATAATTTAGATAGCTTATATGTAAAACTGACCTCAAAATATTTTTTTTATGTTAATTACCTTATCCTACTGAAATTTATGATTAGAGTTGCTTACTTGCTCTAACCTATAATGTTAGATTATGGTGCTTAATTACTGAAACCCAAAGAACAATAGCATGACCTATAATTTTTCTCCCCCTCAAAACATTGAGGTTAGTGTTGTGAAAGATGTAGGATATTAGAAATCTTCCAAATTCTATGTTTATTAAATAAAAATATGAATAATATTGCAGTTGGTGATGGTGGTGTTGAAGGGGTCGATAGAGATAGTGTTCGGTGGTAACAAAGAAGCAGCTGCATATGGAGAGATTGTGTCTATGGGAGGAATCACCAAACAAGTAAAGAGACAACTAATCTCGACCGTTGGTTCTATTCTCCACACTCATTTTTCTATTCATCCTAGTCGTTTTATCTTTAAAGTTTTTGATATCTCATCTTTGCCTCTTCCTTCTAAACTATAGTCTTGTAATGATATGATCTTTCTATTGTTCATTAAAACAAAAATTAACTATGATCAATCTGGTTGATATCATTCGAATTGATGAATACTTTTGTTTTCTCTTTACGAGTCTTCTCTGTTTTTAAGTTTACAAGCTTTTACTACTATATATACCATCATTTAATACGACCATATAAACTTAATAGTATAAAACTTGAAGCAACACATCCAAGAGATGTCCTAGTTTTAGAGACACAGACTTTTTAGTATTTAGACTTGGTCATTGTTTCATGAGTATTTACATTCAATGACAATACTATTCAGAGTAATTGAGAAAATGACAAGAGGTAGTTTCGTTGTTAGTAGAGAGAGAATATTTAGCCATCAGATGTGACCTTATTAACCTTACGCGCTTCGGGTCTTTGCTTCTTATTTAGTCACTTGCAATAAATGGGCTCGGAAAACGAAGTGATATATGCGTGTGAATGTTTGTTTTGTTTCGAATGGTTCTGCAAAGAAAAGCACCCATCTTCCTTCTTTATCTCGCCGAACTCAGAAGCCCTAGTTTTCTAAGAAACTAATTTTTATAGTTTCTCTGAAATTTCTCTTCGTTTTTCCAGTGTAATTCCGTTCAACTCCCTTTCCTGATGATTCAATTTGGTCAATTTTTCTTGTATTAGCATCTGTTTTGGTACTGATCTGTTTAAACCTTTTTGTTGTATTCAACGTTTTCGGCTTTCTTAGATTCAGTAGTTTCATGCCTTTAATTCGTCTTTTGTTTTTCGATACCTTCCTCGACCGTATTTCATTGTTTTTGTTGTTTATCTTCCAGATCTACGGATCTCTTTACTGGGTTAAGCGA